GAGCAATATGAAATACCATACCATCAGCTCTTCCCTGACTTACACTGCTTTTTGTCTGGCACCGCGTTGAAGTAGTTTTGGCAAATTATTGAAGTACATGAGAATGATTGGTATTTTGACTATTTCAGTTTTAAAAAACGGTTACTATTTTACCATAAGACGACAGGAATTCTAACTGGCACATTTTCAGATGACACGACTTGCACTCCTGGCGAATGCAAGTGATCCCTCTGTGGCCTCTTTTAAACTACATTTGGTCTTGATAATATATCAAAATGGTTCAAGCATTCGCGCATGAAAGCACATAAAACAAAAAATACCCATGTCAAATATAACAAGAGATACCTGCACCGAAATTAAATTTAATAAATCAACAATTCCGCAATCAAACAGCGCAAAACGTCTAGACGTCTGATGTTTTTAATAAAAGAAAATTCTCTGGGACTCAATATCGAAAAATGTTTGGGATACTGAATAAAAAATCTTCAGTATCACTAGAAAATAAACGTATTTTATACAAAAGTGTGCTAAAATCAGTATAGACCTGTGACATTCAACAATGGGGAACAAGCTTATCGAAATTCTTCAAGGATTTCAGTCGAAAACACTTAAAGAAATGATGAATGTTCCATGACAAGTAACTAACATCCAAATCAATCGGGATAATTCCGGTAAAAAATGAAGTAAAAAAGGTGGCCAAGAAAAACCATGAAAGAATACAAGTTCATCCCAACTCTCTTTCATCGAATTTAATGTCCCCTCGAGAAAAACGCCACTTCAGCCGTCAGGAAAAAATCTTAATTTAAAAAAGTAGTAAAAGAGCGACTTTACACATGAAGAACTATCTAAATCGTGAAGTATCAGGGCCCTATTGCACCAATCTATTGCACTAATCTGTATTATTTTTTATTCAAAAAAAAAAACACAATTTTGTAAATATGAAAACAAAAATTTGCCCTTTCGTCTCGATGCAGCTAAACAATGGAAGCATAAGTTCGCAAAACAGAAAATTGTCAACATATAAATCACACAAGCACCCAAACTAGCAATATGAATAGAAAATATAGCAACAATTTCTACACTATATCACACACCTTCTCATATGCACATTGAACAGCTCTTTCGTATCTTTCGAACACTTAAAACAAAAACTTAAAAAAATTTGTAGGGGTTAGTTATACCATTTAGTTTAAGTAAATTAATTTTAAGATAGTTATTAATAAACATGTGTTAATAAATATGTATGTTGACGAATCAACAAAAAATTAAGAACTAGGTCATGAGTTAATCGCTCACACCTGTTGCTTAATTTCTTGGTTGACGAATCAACAAAAAGTAAAAATTAGGTCATAAGTAAAGCATTCGCAACTATTGCTTATTAAGCAATTTGTGCGAATTAAGTAATAAGTTATTTTATTTATTGTATGTTTTGCAATTACGGTTGCATTTTATTTTGTATAAAAGAACAAATTAATTTAAATAAAATCAGTTGTTGAAAGTAAATCAACGTCTCACCAATCTTTTATTGTTTCCCCCCACCAGTGGTAAGGGACATAAAGATTGTTAATGAACATTCTTGTTCAAAAATGTAAAAATATTGTAAAAATGTAAATATTAATATTTATTACGTAGAAACTTTCGCTATTTTTTATGGTTATTCACGGGATATTAATCAATTTATAATTTTTTGTGTTAATATACATTAATATTTTAAACAAAGCAATTTATACATATGAACAATAAAAAATAATGTATCATATATATATCTAATAACGGCAAGAACTAACAAATGTGTTCTCTTATTGGTGGTGGTATTCCTCTATTCCTGAGCGTTGTTTGTTGTCGTTTTGTCATTGGGCCTTGTTGTGATAGGATTTTAGGCAGGTTTTGGAGTATTTTCGGAAAATCTTCTGCAGGTTGTTTTCTTTCTTCTTTTTTACCATTCTATTTTCCAATTATTTATGTATGATAACATATTTTTTTATCATTTATATGCAAAAAATCTTTTTGTCGAAAATACTAATGTATATTAATATAAAAAACTAAAGTTCTTCAAATTCTTAAGGACGATTATAAATTATAGTCGAAATAGAGAACAAATAATAAAAAAAAGGTTTGAAATAGTAAAAAAAATAAATTTTCTATATTATTTTTTTTAAACAAAATTTCTTCGTTAACATGGACTAGGCCTCCTGGGGACACCATGTAAAAAAAAACGCGCGATGCATTATACCTCAAAGGTGGTCTGGAAATTAGTACGCAACTAGTAACAAAAAAATTATCATTTCTATTTAATTAACGATAACCTCTCATGTATGTCGATCTAGTAACTATGAATGATTACGCAGTTATTTAAATAAATCTCCATTTCTCGGCAATTATCAGCTTGCAAAAGCGGATAATGCGTCGATACGCTTGTACCCCTTGTACTGATGTTCCGTTTATATTTATTCAGTATCTGTGAAGCGCATATATTTGCGAAATAGCGTTAATTATTCAAACTGCCATGTAGATTGTTTTATTCATCTTAAATTGATTTCTATATAATTTTATTATAATACATTTGGCAAAACTAAAGCATACTATTTTTAAAAATGTTTTACCAATTATTGGTAAATATTTTATATACATATGTGTTCTTATGATTGTATTACTTCTTAAGATTTAATATAAATATTATGTAAATGCGATAAAATTGGAAATCCATACTTAATAACGATTAATTACGAAAACAATTATAACTCTTTCTTCAAATGCCATCACAATGAAAAATTGTTTCAATGCTGCAAATAAAATTTTGATATCTCTTGCCCCCGAAATTACATACAAAAATATCAATGTCCATATGTTCATATTTAAACACAAAGCAAGTAGGCATGAATGAATATAAAATAGAGAATAATTTTTTTTACTACTTACATTATAATTCAAGGAAGCAATAACAACACCTCAAAGAGCAAAAGGAGAAAAAAACACAAAAAAGAAATATAAAAATTTCTTGAACCTATGAAGCAGAGAATATTGCAAAATCTTCTTTGGTATGAAGCAAAAACAACTGAAGCGACGTCGGCAGAGATTTGAGTGATTTGGGTACCCAGTAGTAGATACCTAGAACAAAAATTAATTTCTATGGCATTGTGACTCTATAATATTTTTACTCAATGGTTTCAGTTAAACATGAAAATAAAAATTTCGGTTTTACAGAAAATTCTATAATGAATGAAATAAAATGGATTGTAAACAAAAAATCAGTTTTTTGGTATTTTGGCAGACACTTATTGCTTTAATATTTTCATAAGTTGCTCTTCTTTCTCACCTTTCTACATAAAAATACCAACAACTGTAGTTCAGAGCACAGAAAAGCAATACAAATTTTTTTAAAACTTCTTAACTATGAAATGCTTAAGCACTCCAAACTTTCCCGCATGTTAAAGCTGAAAAATTAAAAATTGAGTCACATCGAGTCCATGCGACACAAAAATAACTCAAATATGATTTCCCCGATTTCTTCGACCGATTTTTGTGAAATTGTCCTCACTTCATTTTTAAGATTTTTTGAGTGATGCACACTCTATGTATATATACTCTTTGGTATTGTATTCTCTATTTTGGTCCAATACTTTTTGATTTTCTATTGTAAGTGCATATGGTATTTAAAATTTAATAATTAATATATTACATTTTTTTAAACATTTTCAGATATTGCACCAGAAGAGCTGGGGGCTGTGGGTGGTTCAGAACCCGCTCTCACTCTTTCAACTCAGTTGAAAGAGTCCGAAGAGCGGGATAGGGCAGAAGAGCGTATGCGAAGGTACTCTCTGTTAATCGCTGAATTAAGAGCAGAAGTGTCTTCTCTTACAGCTCAGAGGGACACACTCATGCAGGCGCACGCTTCAACAAACAACTTGCCAACATTTCCTCTGGGAAATGTTGGCGAGTTCGAGAGGCTGGAGGCGCATCTGCTTTTATATGAAGAAATGAGGGAGAAATTGGTAAGAAAGCTTTTTATTTTTTAAAATAACTAAATTAATTAATTTTAATTTCTATTATTTGTATTTGCAGAAACAATCATTTCTCCAATTAGAAGTAGATGACGCTGAAAGTTTTGTTCCGAAAGCGCTGCGGAGTGTGCTCCCAGATGGTGTGGCCAGCCATTTTACATTGAGAGGGAGAGGCATGAAAAGTGCCATAGGACAGAGTCTCTTTATTAAAACAATAAGAGGTTTTTACATATTCTGTTGTTATTTTCAACTAAACTACATGTATGATTATATTTTCAGATGCGGTTAGGAAAAATTTCCAAATATAGACCCGAATAGTTTAAATTATTTTCTTAGCAAGCACTTTTGTTACGCAGTTAATCAGAAACGTTGATTTGTGTAAAATAAACTTGACCCGCTGGATTAATTTGAGTAAAAAAACTAAGCTTATATCGGGAACTTCTGGTGCAGAAGTTAAAGGCGTTTGTATAGAAGAAATTCAGAGAAAAATTGGAAATCTGAATTAAAAAATAACGAAATAACACTCAATACATAAGAAAAATTAGTGAACTCGAACAATAATAATACGATCGAGTGCGACGCGGCGGACGGTGAAACGTTAAACATGTCAAGTGAACCGGTACAAAATAATATAAACTTTAAGGAGGTCGAAGAATCGTTAGAATTGTTCGATGGTGAGTCAAATAAAAAAATAGAGGATTGGTTGCTTGATTTCGAAAGCATTTCGGTAGTGTGTAAATGGAATCAAGTACAAAGATTTCTATATTGCAAAAGATTATTACGTGGGGCTGCAAAGTTGGCTGTGGAAGCAGAAACTGGCGTCAACAGTTGGGAGATATTAAAACGAACTCTCAGAACTGAATTTGATTGCCAGGAATCGGAAAACTTGCACGAAAAATTGGAAAATACGAAAAAGCTAAGTAACGAATCATTCAAGGAATATTTTTATAAAATGAAAGAAGTTGCTTCTAGAGGTACAGTGGAAGAAACACACTTAATTGAGTACATTATAGCAGGCATACCGGATAGTTCACTAAACAAGGCCACACTCTATCAGTCTTGTAGTCTTGAGCAGCTAAAAATTAACCTCAAAGCTTATGAGAAGTTTAAGGCCGATCAGGAGAAGGAAAAAAGATGCCAAGGTCGAAATAATTACGACAATTATTATAGTGGAAATCAGGTCTATAAAAGATGCAATAACTGTGGAGCGGTGTCACACACAACACAACATTGCTCAGATAGGGGAAGAGGAAGAAGATGTTTCAAGTAATTTATAATTAATTAATTAAGTAATTAGTGACGCACTTGAATGGATTAACGAGATTCCTTCTCTCCTTTTCTTTTGTTTATTTTTGAGAGTTGATCTGTGCGGACGTGTGGGCGCGTAATTCTGTGTTTGGAATGAAATTGCATTGAGAAAATGACTCTACCAAATTGTGTTTTTTGATAATATATTCTACATATATATATTTTTTGAGTATTATTAATTAATATTGATATACTTAAAAATAAATATTTATTATCGACTGTTTATTGTATAAATATTCTTTTTTTTTTGTATTTTCTTTTTTCGGAAATCTTTTTTTACATTTTTTTAATCTGTTTATATAATTTTTGGATTCTTTTGCTTTTAACGTAATATATATTGTCTATTTGTGTTCCATTTTTTGTTCCAGTAAACACAAATTCTAGACATGCCCGGACATAAACACAACAGGTGCACCGGTCTCTCTACTTCAATACTATCTGAGATTCGACAGGTCAGGCCGAACCTGACTTAATGCCATCTTGTAGTTCAGTGTCCTGTTAGAATCGATATTGATTTTAGATACTTTCAATTCATTTCTATGTATTAAGTCGAAGCTTTTTGAGGTATATTTGAGGTATAGAAGCAATCTGAGAAGAAGTATAAGCCCAATTTCTATTTGTCTGTCGCAAAAAATAGTTTCACACATATCAAAGTCTATTCGACATTTTCTACAAATTTTACTTTATGCTAAAGTCAAAAACAAACACAAAAATGCGAAAGTTTGATAATGTCAAAGCTGATTTTTCCTAATGATAAAAGGTGGAATGAAAAAATCTCGCTGGTCTAACCAACAAATTAATAATGAAAATATAAAACAAATACGTGGAATGATGCAACAGGAAGCCGGAATTTATAACAAATTGTCTACAAGAAATGGGAAACGATATTGGTTCGCTTAATGGGCGATTGCATAAGGTAGAAGAGTACTCAATGATGTCAAACTCACTGCACCAGTCGATGACAGAATATGGTATAAACCAGGTGGAAGGAAAGTCAAGCAAAGTCAAGGAAAGGCTTGAAGGAATAGTCAGGAAAGAATAATGATTTGAAGCCGTAGCATATTAACTTTGATGAAACTAATAGGGAGATGATCATAAAAATTTCATATTCAGGATTGAAAGAATGAGAGAGCAATATGAAATACCATACCATCAGCTCTTCCCTGACTTACATTGCTTTTTGTTTGGCACCGCGTTGAAGTAGTTTTGGCAAATTATTGAAGTACATGAGAATGATCGGTATTTTGACTATTTCAGTTTTAAAAAACGGTTACTATTTTACCATAAGACGACAGGAATTCTAACTGGCACATTTTCAGATGACACGACTTGCACTCCTGGCGAGTGCAAGTGATCCCTCTGTGGCCTCTTTTAAACTACATTTGGTCTTGATAATATATCAAAATGGTTCAAGCATTGGTGCATGAAAGCACATAAAACAAAAAATACCCATGTCAAATATAACAAGAGATACCTGCACCGAAATTAAATTTAATAAATCAACAATTCCGCAATCAAACAGCGCAAAACGTCTAGACGTCTGATGTTTTTAATAAAAGAAAATTCTCTGGGACTCAATATCGAAAAATGTTTGGGATACTGAATAAAAAATCTTCAGCATCACTAGAAAATAAACGTATTTTATACAAAAGTGTGCTAAAATCAGTATAGACCTGTGACATTCAACAATGGGGAACAAGCTTATCGAAATTCTTCAAGGATTTCAGTCGAAAACACTTAAAGAAATGATGAATGTTCCATGACAAGTAACTAACATCCAAATCAATCGGGATAATTCCGGTAAAAAATGAAGTAAAAAAGGTGGCCAAGAAAAACCATGAAAGAATACAAGTTCATCCCAACTCTCTTTCATCGAATTTAATGTCCCCTCGAGAAAAACGCCACTTCAGCCGTCAGGAAAAAATCTTAATTTAAAAAAGTAGTAAAAGAGCGACTTTACACATGAAGAACTATCTAAATCGTGAAGTATCAGGGCCCTATTGCACCAATCTATTGCACTAATCTGTATTATTTTTTATTCAAAAAAAAAAACACAATTTTGTAAATATGAAAACAAAAATTTGCCCTTTCGTCTCGATGCAGCTAAACAATGGAAGCATAAGTTCGCAAAACAGAAAATTGTCAACATATAAATCACACAAGCACCCAAACTAGCAATATGAATAGAAAATATAGCAACAATTTCTACACTATATCACACACCTTCTCATATGCACATTGCACAGCTCTTTCGTATCTTTCGAACACTTAAAACAAAAACTTAAAAAAATTTGTAGGGGTTAGTTATACCATTTAGTTTAAGTAAATTAATTTTAAAATAGTTATTAATAAACATGTGTTAATAAATATGTATGTTGACGAATCAACAAAAAATTAAGAACTAGGTCATGAGTTAATCGCTCACACCTGTTGCTTAATTTCTTGGTTGACGAATCAACAAAAAGTAAAAATTAGGTCATAAGTAAAGCATTCGCAACTATTGCTTATTAAGCAATTTGTGCGAATTAAGTAATAAGTTATTTTATTTATTGTATGTTTTGCAATTACGGTTGCATTTTATTTTGTATAAAAGAACAAATTAATTTAAATAAAATCAGTTGTTGAAAGTAAATCAACGTCTCACCAATCTTTTATTGTTTCCCCCCACCAGTGGTAAGGGACATAAAGATTGTTAATGAACATTCTTGTTCAAAAATGTAAAAATATTGTAAAAATGTAAATATTAATATTTATTACGTAGAAACTTTCGCTATTTTTTATGGTTATTCACGGGATATTAATCAATTTATAATTTTTTGTGTTAATATACATTAATATTTTAAACAAAGCAATTTATACATATGAACAATAAAAAATAATGTATCATATATATATCCAATAACGGCAAGAACTAACAAATGTGTTCTCTTATTGGTGGTGGTATTCCTCTATTCCTGAGCGTTGTTTGTTGTCGTTTTGTCATTGGGCCTTGTTGTGATAGGATTTTAGGCAGGTTTTGGAGTATTTTCGGAAAATCTTCTGCAGGTTGTTTTCTTTCTTCTTTTTTACCATTCTATTTTCCAATTATTTATGTGTGATAACATATTTTTTTATCATTTATATGCAAAAAATCTTTTTGTCGAAAATACTAATGTATATTAATATAAAAAACTAAAGTTCTTCAAATTCTTAAGGACGATTATAAATTATAGTCGAAATAGAGAACAAATAATAAAAAAAAGGTTTGAAATAGTAAAAAAAATAAATTTTCTATATTATTTTTTTTAAACAAAATTTCTTCGTTAACATGGACTAGGCCTCCTGGGGACACCATGTAAAAAAAAAACGCGCGATGCATTATACCTCAAAGGTGGTCTGGAAATTAGTACGCAACTAGTAACAAAAAAATTATCATTTCTATTTAATTAACGATAACCTCTCATGTATGTCGATCTAGTAACTATGAATGATTACGCAGTTATTTAAATAAATCTCCATTTCTCGGCAATTATCAGCTTGCAAAAGCGGATAATGCGTCGATACGCTTGTACCCCTTGTACTGATGTTCCGTTTATACTTATTCAGTATCTGTGAAGCGCATATATTTGCGAAATAGCGTTAATTATTCAAACTGCCATGTAGATTGTTTTATTCATCTTAAATTGATTTCTATATAATTTTATTATAATACATTTGGCAAAACTAAAGCATACTATTTTTAAAAATGTTTTACCAATTATTGGTAAATATTTTATATACATATGTGTTCTTATGATTGTATTACTTCTTAAGATTTAATATAAATATTATGTAAATGCGATAAAATTGGAAATCCATACTTAATAACGATTAATTACGAAAACAATTATAACTCTTTCTTCAAATGCCATCACAATGAAAAATTGTTTCAATGCTGCAAATAAAATTTTGATATCTCTTGCCCCCGAAATTACATACAAAAATATCAATGTCCATATGTTCATATTTAAACACAAAGCAAGTAGGCATGAATGAATATAAAATAGAGAATAATTTTTTTTACTACTTACATTATAATTCAAGGAAGCAATAACAACACCTCAAAGAGCAAAAGGAGAAAAAAACACAAAAAAGAAATATAAAAATTTCTTGAACCTATGAAGCAGAGAATATTGCAAAATCTTCTTTGGTATGAAGCAAAAACAACTGAAGCGACGTCGGCAGAGATTTGAGTGATTTGGGTACCCAGTAGTAGATACCTAGAACAAAAATTAATTTCTATGGCATTGTGACTCTATAATATTTTTACTCAATGGTTTCAGTTAAACATGAAAATAAAAATTTCGGTTTTACAGAAAATTCTATAATGAATGAAATAAAATGGATTGTAAACAAAAAATCAGTTTTTTGGTATTTTGGCAGACACTTATTGCTTTAATATTTTCATAAGTTGCTCTTCTTTCTCACCTTTCTACATAAAAATACCAACAACTGTAGTTCAGAGCACAGAAAAGCAATACAAATTTTTTTAAAACTTCTTAACTATGAAATGCTTAAGCACTCCAAACTTTCCCGCATGTTAAAGCTGAAAAATTAAAAATTGAGTCACATCGAGTCCATGCGACACAAAAATAACTCAAATATGATTTCCCCGATTTCTTCGACCGATTTTTGTGAAATTGTCCTCACTTCATTTTTAAGATTTTTTGAGTGATGCACACTCTATGTATATATACTCTTTGGTATTGTATTCTCTATTTTGGTCCAATACTTTTTGATTTTCTATTGTAAGTGCATATGGTATTTAAAATTTAATAATTAATATATTACATTTTTTTAAACATTTTCAGATATTGCACCAGAAGAGCTGGGGGCTGTGGGTGGTTCAGAACCCGCTCTCACTCTTTCAACTCAGTTGAAAGAGTCCGAAGAGCGGGATAGGGCAGAAGAGCGTATGCGAAGGTACTCTCTGTTAATCGCTGAATTAAGAGCAGAAGTGTCTTCTCTTACAGCTCAGAGGGACACACTCATGCAGGCGCACGCTTCAACAAACAACTTGCCAACATTTCCTCTGGGAAATGTTGGCGAGTTCGAGAGGCTGGAGGCGCATCTGCTTTTATATGAAGAAATGAGGGAGAAATTGGTAAGAAAGCTTTTTATTTTTTAAAATAACTAAATTAATTAATTTTAATTTCTATTATTTGTATTTGCAGAAACAATCATTTCTCCAATTAGAAGTAGATGACGCTGAAAGTTTTGTTCCGAAAGCGCTGCGGAGTGTGCTCCCAGATGGTGTGGCCAGCCATTTTACATTGAGAGGGAGAGGCATGAAAAGTGCCATAGGACAGAGTCTCTTTATTAAAACAATAAGAGGTTTTTACATATTCTGTTGTTATTTTCAACTAAACTACATGTATGATTATATTTTCAGATGCGGTTAGGAAAAATTTCCAAATATAGACCCGAATAGTTTAAATTATTTTCTTAGCAAGCACTTTTGTTACGCAGTTAATCAGAAACGTTGATTTGTGTAAAATAAACTTGACCCGCTGGATTAATTTGAGTAAAAAAACTAAGCTTATATCGGGAACTTCTGGTGCAGAAGTTAAAGGCGTTTGTATAGAAGAAATTCAGAGAAAAATTGGAAATCTGAATTAAAAAATAACGAAATAACACTCAATACATAAGAAAAATTAGTGAACTCGAACAATAATAATACGATCGAGTGCGACGCGGCGGACGGTGAAACGTTAAACATGTCAAGTGAACCGGTACAAAATAATATAAACTTTAAGGAGGTCGAAGAATCGTTAGAATTGTTCGATGGTGAGTCAAATAAAAAAATAGAGGATTGGTTGCTTGATTTCGAAAGCATTTCGGTAGTGTGTAAATGGAATCAAGTACAAAGATTTCTATATTGCAAAAGATTATTACGTGGGGCTGCAAAGTTGGCTGTGGAAGCAGAAACTGGCGTCAACAGTTGGGAGATATTAAAACGAACTCTCAGAACTGAATTTGATTGCCAGGAATCGGAAAACTTGCACGAAAAATTGGAAAATACGAAAAAGCTAAGTAACGAATCATTCAAGGAATATTTTTATAAAATGAAAGAAGTTGCTTCTAGAGGTACAGTGGAAGAAACACACTTAATTGAGTACATTATAGCAGGCATACCGGATAGTTCACTAAACAAGGCCACACTCTATCAGTCTTGTAGTCTTGAGCAGCTAAAAATTAACCTCAAAGCTTATGAGAAGTTTAAGGCCGATCAGGAGAAGGAAAAAAGATGCCAAGGTCGAAATAATTACGACAATTATTATAGTGGAAATCAGGTCTATAAAAGATGCAATAACTGTGGAGCGGTGTCACACACAACACAACATTGCTCAGATAGGGGAAGAGGAAGAAGATGTTTCAAGTAATTTATAATTAATTAATTAAGTAATTAGTGACGCACTTGAATGGATTAACGAGATTCCTTCTCTCCTTTTCTTTTGTTTATTTTTGAGAGTTGATCTGTGCGGACGTGTGGGCGCGTAATTCTGTGTTTGGAATGAAATTGCATTGAGAAAATGACTCTACCAAATTGTGTTTTTTGATAATATATTCTACATATATATATTTTTTGAGTATTATTAATTAATATTGATATACTTAAAAATAAATATTTATTATCGTCTGTTTATTGTATAAATATTCTTTTTTTTTGTATTTTCTTTTTTCGGAAATCTTTTTTTACATTTTTTTAATCTGTTTATATAATTTTTGGATTCTTTTGCTTTTAACGTAATATATATTGTCTATTTGTGTTCCATTTTTTGTTCCAGTAAACACAAATTCTAGACATGCCCGGACATAAACACAACAGGTGCACCGGTCTCTCTACTTCAATACTATCTGAGATTCGACAGGTCAGGCCGAACCTGACTTAATGCCATCTTGTAGTTCAGTGTCCTGTTAGAATCGATATTGATTTTAGATACTTTCAATTCATTTCTATGTATTAAGTCGAAGCTTTTTGAGGTATATTTGAGGTACAGAAGCAATCTGAGAAGAAGTATAAGCCCAATTTCTATTTGTCTGTCGCAAAAAATAGTTTCACACATATCAAAGTCTATTCGACATTTTCTACAAATTTTACTTTATGCTAAAGTCAAAAACAAACACAAAAATGCGAAAGTTTGATAATGTCAAAGCTGATTTTTCCTAATGATAAAAGGTGGAATGAAAAAATCTCGCTGGTCTAACCAACAAATTAATAATGAAAATATAAAACAAATACGTGGAATGATGCAACAGGAAGCCGGAATTTATAACAAATTGTCTACAAGAATCAGAGGGAGATGATCCCTCTGTGTGGCCTCTTTTAAACTACATTTGGTCTTGATAATATATCAAAATGGTTCAAGCATTGGCGGATGAAAGCACATAAAACAAAAAATACCCATGTCAAATATAACAAGAGATACCTGCACCGAAATTAAATTTAATAAATCAACAATTCCGCAATCAAACAGCGCAAAACGTCTAGACGTCTGATGTTTTTAATAAAAGAAAATTCTCTGGGACTCAATATCGAAAAATGTTTGGGATACTGAATAAAAAATCTTCAGTATCACTAGAAAATAAACGTATTTTATACAAAAGTGTGCTAAAATCAGTATAGACCTGTGACATTCAACAATGGGGAACAAGCTTATCGAAATTCTTCAAGGATTTCAGTCGAAAACACTTAAAGAAATGATGAATGTTCCATGACAAGTAACTAACATCCAAATCAATCGGGATAATTCCGGTAAAAAATGAAGTAAAAAAGGTGGCCAAGAAAAACCATGAAAGAATACAAGTTCATCCCAACTCTCTTTCATCGAATTTAATGTCCCCTCGAGAAAAACGCCACTTCAGCCGTCAGGAAAAAATCTTAATTTAAAAAAGTAGTAAAAGAGCGACTTTACACATGAAGAACTATCTAAATCGTGAAGTATCAGGGCCCTATTGCACCAATCTATTGCACTAATCTGTATTATTTTTTATTCAAAAAAAAAAACACAATTTTGTAAATATGAAAACAAAAATTTGCCCTTTCGTCTCGATGCAGCTAAACAATGGAAGCATAAGTTCGCAAAACAGAAAATTGTCAACATATAAATCACACAAGCACCCAAACTAGCAATATGAATAGAAAATATAGCAACAATTTCTACACTATATCACACACCTTCTCATATGCACATTGCACAGCTCTTTCGTATCTTTCGAACACTTAAAACAAAAACTTAAAAAAATTTGTAGGGGTTAGTTATACCATTTAGTTTAAGTAAATTAATTTTAAAATAGTTATTAATAAACATGTGTTAATAAATATGTATGTTGACGAATCAACAAAAAATTAAGAACTAGGTCATGAGTTAATCGCTCACACCTGTTGCTTAATTTCTTGGTTGACGAATCAACAAAAAGTAAAAATTAGGTCATAAGTAAAGCATTCGCAACTATTGCTTATTAAGCAATTTGTGCGAATTAAGTAATAAGTTATTTTATTTATTGTATGTTTTGCAATTACGGTTGCATTTTATTTTGTATAAAAGAACAAATTAATTTAAATAAAATCAGTTGTTGAAAGTAAATCAACGTCTCACCAATCTTTTATTGTTTCCCCCCACCAGTGGTAAGGGACATAAAGATTGTTAATGAACATTCTTGTTCAAAAATGTAAAAATATTGTAAAAATGTAAATATTAATATTTATTACGTAGAAACTTTCGCTATTTTTTATGGTTATTCACGGGATATTAATCAATTTATAATTTTTTGTGTTAATATACATTAATATTTTAAACAAAGCAATTTATACATATGAACAATAAAAAATAATGTATCATATATATATCTAATAACGGCAAGAACTAACAAATGTGTTCTCTTATTGGTGGTGGTATTCCTCTATTCCTGAGCGTTGTTTGTTGTCGTTTTGTCATTGGGCCTTGTTGTGATAGGATTTTAGGCAGGTTTTGGAGTATTTTCGGAAAATCTTCTGCAGGTTGTTTTCTTTCTTCTTTTTTACCATTCTATTTTCCAATTATTTATGTATGATAACATATTTTTTTATCATTTATATGCAAAAAATCTTTTTGTCGAAAATACTAATGTATATTAATATAAAAAACTAAAGTTCTTCAAATTCTTGAGGACGAAATATAGTCGAAATAGAGAACAAATAATAAAAAAAAGGTTTGAAATAGTAAAAAAAATAAATTTTCTATATTATTTTTTTTAAACAAAATTTCTTCGTTAACATGGACTAGGCCTCCTGGGGACACCATGTAAAAAAAAACGCGCGATGCATTATACCTCAAAGGTGGTCTGGAAATTAGTACGCAACTAGTAACAAAAAAATTATCATTTCTATTTAATTAACGATAACCTCTCATGTATGTCGATCTAGTAACTATGAATGATTACGCAGTTATTTAAATAAATCTCCATTTCTCGGCAATTATCAGCTTGCAAAAGCGGATAATGCGTCGATACGCTTGTACCCCTTGTACTGATGTTCCGTTTATACTTATTCAGTATCTGTGAAGCGCATATATTTGCGAAATAGCGTTAATTATTCAAACTGCCATGTAGATTGTTTTATTCATCTTAAATTGATTTCTATATAATTTTATTATAATACATTTGGCAAAACTAAAGCATACTATTTTTAAAAATGTTTTACCAATTATTGGTAAATATTTTATATACATATGTGTTCTTATGATTGTATTACTTCTTAAGATTTAATATAAATATTATGTAAATGCGATAAAATTGGAAATCCATACTTAATAACGATTAATTACGAAAACAATTATAACTCTTTCTTCAAATGCCATCACAATGAAAAATTGTTTCAATGCTGCAAATAAAATTTTGATATCTCTTGCCCCCGAAATTACATACAAAAATATCAATGTCCATATGTTCATATTTAAACACAAAGCAAGTAGGCATGAATGAATATAAAATAGAGAATAATTTTTTTTACTACTTACATTATAATTCAAGGAAGCAATAACAACACCTCAAAGAGCAAAAGGAGAAAAAAACACAAAAAAGAAATATAAAAATTTCTTGAACCTATGAAGCAGAGAATATTGCAAAATCTTCTTTGGTATGAAGCAAAAACAACTGAAGCGACGTCGGCAGAGATTTGAGTGATTTGGGTACCCAGTAGTAGATACCTAGAACAAAAATTAATTTCTATGGCATTGTGACTCTATAATATTTTTACTCAATGGTTTCAGTTAAACATGAAAATAAAAATTTCGGTTTTACAGAAAATTCTATAATGAATGAAATAAAATGGATTGTAAACAAAAAATCAGTTTTTTGGTATTTTGGCAGACACTTATTGCTTTAATATTTTCATAAGTTGCTCTTCTTTCTCACCTTTCTACATAAAAATACCAACAACTGTAGTTCAGAGCACAGAAAAGCAATACAAATTTTTTTAAAACTTCTTAACTATGAAATGCTTAAGCACTCCAAACTTTCCCGCATGTTAAAGCTGAAAAATTAAAAATTGAGTCACATCGAGTCCATGCGACACAAAAATAACTCAAATATGATTTCCCCGATTTCTTCGACCGATTTTTGTGAAATTGTCCTCACTT